AACTAAGATTTTTATCTATTGAACACCTTTACCCTCCCAATTTGAACCATCTGAACATTTTTTGCTTACCTGGCACATTGTTTATGTTTCACCCCAAAGAGGCGCGTGAGAGGCCTTTAGGCAGGCTTTTTTTAGGAAAAAACTGTTCTTTTTCTTCCTCCCTCTTTACCCATCACTTCATCCACCACACTAGTCATTGCCACCATTATATATCCATCTTTTTCTTCATTTTTTCTCCGGATACTTCACTTCTATCTCCATCATTGTTTTTTGTTTCTCCATTGCCTTCTACCTCCATCTTTTTTTTTTGTTTTTTTATTACCATCGTACTAGGAGAGGATTGGTGGTACCTTCATTGCCGCCATGGCAGCCACCATCATTAAAGAGCTTGAAATTTGAAATTTTTTTCTTTGTTGTTAATGTAGTGTTTTGGTGTTAAACTGATGGAGATTTGTGTGAATTTTGTTAAAGGACTTTTCTATTTATTTTTTATTTTGCTCACATTTTTGTAGGGTGTTCTTCAATCGAAAAATATAATCACCTCTGGAACTCAAAAAGAAATCCACTATTCATCGAAAACTGATTAATTTTCCGACGAAGTTCATCTTTTCGTCAAAAATGAAACGAGGAAGACAAGTTAAATTTTATTTTATTTTTTTATCTATGGCCAACTCTTTCGTAACTCATCAAAAATAGCAATAAATCTTAATCCTTTTGCTTGAACTCTATGGTGCAGATGAACTAAGAAGATTAAAAAATAATAGAATATTTACAGAGAGGGTTGCCATGGGGGCTGGGGCACTATAGAAGGAGAGGAGTTTTGGACTCCATGGAATAGAAGGGTAGGTAAGCTATAGAATTTATATGATTTATTTTTTAACTTTTAACATAAAAATAATTTCTTTTTTTTTTACTTTATAATATATTTTATATTAAATTTTCTGGACTCTAAAATACCAAATGTCAGTATTTAATTCATCAAATTGCCATGTCATCGCTAGTGTATTTCACACACATTATACTTTTAGCTTATTGTCAAAAAAATATTTAAATGGTTCAAATTTGGGAGGGTAAAGGTGTTGAATTGGTACAAATCTTAGTTGAGGTGTTTAAATGAATTATGCGGACAACTTTAAGGGGCTATAGATGACTTAAGCCTTATTTCAGCAGAATACCTTAACAGATGATAAAATGTTCTTATTAATCAAATCAATGTTAAATTTGATTAGACTAGAAATTACCAAACATTGGTAAATTTCCTTTTTGCTTACTTTTTTATGTTGTTAAAAAAAAATGTTCAATGACAATTCTATCCCTTTTTTTCTTTTTTTTTCCTAATTGAAGGAACCACACATGAAATTCACTTGCTTTTAAACTTATTCATCAATCCGCATAATTAAGTTGCCAAATTTTTAAGCGCAACTTAAGTAACTTTTAGGGCATTGATTTATTTTATTTTGATCGAAAGAAAATTATGATCCGCTATGATTCTAATTATTAGTTGAAAACAATTGCTGAATATTCCATGCAAAGTTTGATTTATTTTTTCTTTATTTAAATATTATTATAATTTATACGTAACGGGAGTAATTAAACAATAGAGCAAAACTGGTTTGGTAGGTATGGGTCCATATAGGCTCGAAAGCGGTGGACCCTTGCTAAGTTTAGATGGGTCGGATAATGATTGTTGGGCCACATTTATATGGTATATTTCATATATAACAAACATAATTTATTAAATAACATTATATGGAGGTAGTTTATATAATTATATTTATGAGCATAGTTTAATTTGTTATGTATCTTTTAATTTGTATAAAATATTTTTTTATTTTTAATTTATTTAATATTTTAATAATATAACTAAATAAGGTAACAAACATTTACACAATTCCATTATTTAAGCTAACCATTCAAAATCAAATATTTTCTCAATTTTATTTAAAAATAAGTCATATGAAACACTTAGACGTTAATGATTTTATTTGTATACATATACATTAATTATATTGTATATATTTGAGAAATTGTAAATAATTTTTTATACAATTTCGTGTGTAGTTTATTATGTATATGTGATCATCATAATATGAAAATTGTATATATGACCATCATTTTTTTTTAAAAAAAAAGTGTCTTGTATTTGTTCTTAATTATTTTCTGTAGTCGATTTGTATACAATATTTTATTATGTTTATTTTTTTATAGTATATATCTACGGATTTGTATAATATACAATAATTTGGTATATTGATTATATTTGTATATGTGCATATGTAATTTCATGTTGTTTTTTTTTTTAAAAATAATGGTTAAAATGATTGTATAATATTCATTTGTCAATTGTATATATGGTAAGCTTGAAATATGTTTGTGTATTTAGTGTGTAATGTTTATATATACAATATTTTATCACGTTCATAATTTTTTATATATATTGACGAATTTGTATAATATATAATATTTTTATATATGTATTATACAATGATTAACAAATTTCTTTTTACAAAACTAAATATTTGTATACAAATAACAATTGCTCATAATACTTTGTATATATTACCTTAATACACAACCCACTATATATATAACTTTAGTAATTTGTATATAAATTACACAACCTGACGTTCTTCAGATTTGTCTAAATCTGTCCAGTTTTGACGAGATAGATCCAATCTCGTCTAAATTTATGTTTCTGACTTTTCTCTTACTTCAACCTTCAACAATCTTAATGTCACCAGATTTCGCGTTGTTGATGACCTTCTAAATTGTCATTGGGTCATTTTTTTCTTGAATAAAGATTCAAGATATTGTTCAACTTGAACTTGTTTATATTTTGTCATATACCCTATATTAACCTCAAAAACCTTAGATAACCCAATTGAAAACGAAGGTGGATTATCAACAATATTGACATGCAATGACATACCTCTAATAATCCTCATATATGGACATGAATCCTTTATTCTCATTTTAAAGAACTTTAAACTGATAAGAAAAAAGTATTTTTTTTCAAAAAAAATACGAACAAAACTAAGAAACATAATACATATATAATTATGTTGATGAAGGAAATTTTTTTTAAAAAATTGGATTAATTAAAGTAAGACAACATGGATATCGTGAAATTTTCCAAAATTTAAAATTCAAAATAGGAGTGGAGGAGTAATTTTAGGAGAAAGATATGGAATGAGTATAGGAGAGATAAAATTGATTTGATAAAATTATATCTAAAAGATAAAAAAATCTTTTATGGTTGGATATACAAAGAGGAGATGGGTCCCATTAATTATGACAAAAAAATGAAACTATAGTTTTTGAAAATAAATAAATTAAACTATACCCTTATTAACTAATTACTTAGAGATGTTTGTCATTCTACGAATTTTCTTATTTATATCAACAAATCATGACAAAATGGGCTTTTAACTCTAGTTTTTGTTTGGGTTTTGGTTGTAGTGCCAACACCAGTTATAGCGAAACAGCCCACTACATTTCAGGGAAAATACTCTTACGCAAATTGTTTCATTCTGTGGTCTGAGTTTCTCATCTCGTTCTTGTCTCAATCTTTTGATTACGTGTAAGTTCAGTATCTCCCTCATAATTCGATAGTTTGAGTATTCTTATTACAATCATAAAGCTATAATCGTGTTCCAGTTCTTACTAATATTTCGAGAATTATTACAGACCTCAAAAAGGCGAAGGTCATTTGTACAAATTCCTCTGATTAAAGAGATTGTAAAACTTGACGTTGACAATTTAGTGGTGGACTTGGTTAACAAAACAAAAAAAAAATAATTAGCCTCTCTAACGCTGATTTTAGAAAGTGTCTTTCTCGATACTCAAATCGGTACAATTCAAAATATAAATACTTTACAAATATTATATTGTTGGATAGATTCAACGAATTACCAAGTCTTAATAATATTGGACGAAGTTGAAGCTAGTCATAATTTTAACAATTAAAATATAATGCACGAAATATTATATTTTTTATTCAGGTTTGGTGGCTTCAATACCTAACACTCCAAGTTTATTGAAATATAAGTTTGTAATTAATGTACTACAATTATAAAAGAAGTTCAGTATATATATATATATATATATGAGAAAATTAATTTGTTTCCGTGTGTTTTGTCTTGACATCTTCAAATAGACATTAGTTTTCTAAATTTGACGTTTACTTCCATTTTGGATTGTAGATAAGACATTAAATTAAATTAACTTTAGAAAAGGAAAAGGAGAGGATATTTAAAAAGGAAGAAGGAAAAGTAGCAATCATACGTTGAGACATAAGTAATGCAGCATGATTTTGTCTCAGTTTAATTAAAAAAAAAGCAAATAGGCTTATTTGTGTTAATAAATTAAATACATCGACAATATTTTAAAAAAGATATCACTAAATAGAGGATTTTGTCGAAACTCACCCCTCATGTCTAGGGTTGGATGTCTGATGTATGAGAAATTTAATGTGTCCAAAATCAGAAAACATGAATTTGGACTAGTTATGTTGGGGTAATCATGTCTAGGGTTGGATGTCTGATGTATGAGAAATTTAATATGTGTCCAAAATCAAAAAACATGAATTTGGACGAGTAATGTTGGGGTAAAAGAAAGAATTTTAGATCTAATCCAATCTTAAAAGTTTGTCGAAATTATCCGGATCACCGTTGTGGGACTCTGCCCATCATCTTTGTCTGATGGTTATATATAACTAAACATTGTCACTAAAGAAAAACTAATATTTTTTGAGGTTAATGTGTTAAAGAACCCACTGTTATGATCACACCTAGTTGTAAAGATAATCAAGCCAGTAAACATTAGTTATTGAAATTTGAACTGGTCCCCTGTTTTTGCCTTGTGGCTACTTTTTCAACTAATAAAAAAACTTGACCACCTTCTGGTCTAGTTCCTTTTCCTTCTCATATAAAGAGAAAATCACTTAAAATTCATCAAAATTTGAGTTTAGAAAAGAATTGATGAGAAAAGGATCAAGAAAAATGTGGTGGGTGGTGCCATCGTGTACAAGCAGATCATCAAAGAACTTCAAGACTCAACCAGTAGTGGATATTGAAGAAATACTGAAGATGAAACTCGAAACGATTAAAGAAGAGCCAGAAATCTCTGAAGAAAATGTTAAGTTAACGAAGACGAATACTATGAGCAAGCAATTAGTGAAGAAGATTCAGCTCAAAGTCAAGAAGGGTCGTGTTTTTTCGCATAAATTTAGTCTGAAAGAATGTTATGTTATGTTCATGACTGGTTTGGCTACCAAAGGTGCGTTAAATGGTCTTCCTAGATATTAAGATTAGTATTGCTGTGTTTCGATGATCAATTAATATTCAAGATCAAACATGGATCTAGGTCAGGTTCTATGAAATTCAATTGGACCTGTTGATTTTTAATCGAGTTATTTATGCATATGCAAACAAATTAAAATGTATGCATAAACTGTAATAAGTTTACATTAATTCTGAATTCACTGACTTTAGATCCTGAATTTGTTTAGTCTAAAGCTATTGTTTCTAAGTCGATGGATACTTTAACGGTGTACATTAGTGTGTATACATGATCTTAAATTTGTAAATTGCCTGCTCCACTCATTAACATTGTGCAAACACGGAAGAGAAGACAGTATATGTAAATACTAGTACTATTTTCGCTGATGATGTTTTCAATTTTCAGATAAATGTTACTGCTGAGAGTTTTACGCATAATAGATGTGCATTCGATTCTTAATATTCTAATCTTTTTCTTTCTTGGCCGCGTACGTAATACTATAGATTTTGAGATAAAGAGAAGTGTTATTTGAACATCAAATGGATTTTTGGAATACGGATGAATATGTATTTCTGCAAAATCAGTTAATAAAATTCTAAACATTATCAAACTATTGTTGTATAGAGTTCATCTTCAAACAAAACTTTTAACTTCGCCACAAGCTTTTCTTTTCCAACTCTAATCAAGTGTTCTCCAAAAGCATAGAGATAATTGATTTTCCAATACATGAAAATCATGTAATATCAATTAAGTAATCAATCAACTACACAAATTCAATTCCATTCCATTCAAATATTTAATTACTTAAAACCATATGCATCAGTCAGAAAAATGTCCAACAACACTCAAAACTGGGGCATATTTGCAACCATGAAATAAGTGGCATAATAATTATAGAGGTCCATTGGTTCATACTGCTATGCTACTATGTTCCCCTTTCCATATCTCCAAAGGAAGGAGGAAAATTTAAATAATGAAAAATGGAGGGAGCAGGAAGACAACATGGGCCAAGTGAGAAGTGTCATTTATGATCCCTTTCAAAATCATTTCTTCTAATTTAACTTTGCCAAAGAAATTGGGAACACTAGAAAATGGCCTCACAATCACTTTGTCACTCAACTCATCTCAATTATTCATGTAAAAGCCCAATAACCTTAGTTTTTGAAAAATCCAATTGGATCATTGTAAGTTCCAACTCATAGGAAAAGAAAGAGAAAAAATAAACAATCTCAGGTAGAACAGGGCGTTGAAGTATAAAATTCATTCCACAGCTCTGGATTTACTAACGATCCTTCATCTCTTCGTTATATATATTGAGAATTGTGTATCACATTTATCCGTTAGCTATTGGCTAGTAGCAGAGTCAGGACTGTCATTTAAGGCTATCAATAGTTGTAGTAGAAATTTTAATTATGAATTTCACAATATCTTAACTACTATACTAAACCTTTAACTTGTGTCAAGAGGTGTCAATACTGGCACATATATTTATTAAACCTACATTTGACCTTTATTATATACCATGTAACATATAATATTCAACCGGTTTTCGCTTGATACTCCATGAATTTTATCCTTCTGCGTCCGCCACAGTTATTAAGTTGATGGTTAAGCCTGAGACAACTTGCATAATCCACTACTTATCATGCTCTCTCATTTCAGAGAACTCGACTGATTGAGACGTGAACCGCTAGCATCATTTACTCGAGAACGAAATAGAGGACAGTGTTAACATCCAAATCTTCATTAAAGATTCTTGGCGAAATTTATAATCTTGAAAATAAGACATATTATACAATAGGTAAAGTATAATATGATGATAGTATACAATAACTTTAAACGTATAGTTTCCAAATGAACTCTTCATTGAAGCTCTTGTGATTAAAATTAGGGTTTAATATCCCTATCAAAAGAAATTCTTTGGAGATTTTACAGGGGAATGAGACAGGACAGGGAGCCCCCATTGACAAGACAATACAAAAGCAGGACACACATCTTCCATATTCTTCATTCTTTTCACTATTTCCCCATAAATCCTAGCAACCCTCTTTGGCAATATTACAAAAGAAGAAAATGACTTCCAATTCAACTTTCTAGATTTTGATAACTTGAAACCTCTAAATCTTCCATTCATTTTCTTGATAAGCCAACACCTTCTTGGCCTTATTACAATTACCCTCTCTTCAACAAGTCTCTCATATCTTCCTTGAAACCCCATCTTTCAAAATTAGCTCTTAGTCTATACAAAAACTAACAGAGTATTTATAGGGGAAAAAAAGAGAAGTAATGCGCTATTAGTTAGCACATGGAGAATCTTGATCTTTGTATAACTTCAAAGATATAGAAATTTAACATAAAAGAACAGAGCAATGTATAAATACTAAGTAAGCTGCATTTATATATAAATAAGAAAAGATGCTCTTGTATTGATTTAGACACATGGGTAGCACAATGGATTTCAAGTTTTAAACTAACATAACAGCTCAATGGTCTGCATAGTCCCTCTTACAGAGTTTTTGTTTGTTTCATTTGGTAGTGTGAATAGCAGATGAAATGAATGGAATATCATTGTCATGTGCAATGATTAATCTGCTAAATTTCAAAAAAAAAAAATTAATTAGACTGCCAATGATTTGTTTGGAAGATGTGGAATTTTAGCAGCTTTATATTCAGAACAAGACAAAGATTTAGTCCTTTTTTTAAAAAAAAAAGTATATGACAGAGTTTAGTTTGGTAAGTTTCAGTGTATAGACAGAGATTGGTCAAGGAGCTAATCAGTCTAAATTTGATAAGACATCTACATTTTAATTCTAAATGTTGATTAGTTTAAGGGATTCACTTCTAGTTAAGACTAATAATGTAATTTCAGGTCTAGATTATAAATGCAAAGTAGAGATTAAAAGGTCATTAAGAGGTTATTTGGTAGTTGATTTAGAGGTGAGTTAATGCAAGTATTAGATTAAGTAATACCGCTTTTAATTTATAGCTGCTTAGAATGTGTGTATTTCATTATAAAATTAGTAAGGTGTTTGGTTGGTATAACAAAAGTCTGTATAATTAATACAAGTATAAGTTATGAGAGAAATTATATACTTTAAGCGAGATATAAATTAAAATAACTAAATCGTACATAATTAATATATACATAAAAATAATACATAATTTCTCCGGTAACTAATTCTTGTAATTCTACTAAATGACCCCTAAGAATTAAAGCTTGGTAGGTAAATTTCAAAATTTATTTGGTAAATCGAGCTTTTACTTTTTGCTAGTCAGTGAAGTTTAGTTTGGCCTGATAGCTCATCCTGCTGCTACAAACATTTTTTGGTGTTTTTGATCGTAGAAATGACAGTGTCTTGGTCAATATAATATTTGCACCCATAAAATTAGAGCAAGTCAATAATTTAAATAGATATATTTTTATTTCTTTTTTCTTTTAAGTTAAAAAAATTCTATATGTATCAACAAATTTAATAAAAAAATCATTGAACTGATTAAGCGATTGACTTCATAGGTGAAACATTAAAAATTAAATAATTTAATTATAATAATATAAAAAATAACTTTAAATGCTACGTTTAGTTAAATGATCATCTAAGATATTCTCGTCACAATTTTAAATGTCACCATACTCATGAAAAATAAGTCCAATATTTATCCATAGACTTTTATTTTGCTTTAAGATTACCAGTCGTTATACTCTTCTTTTATTAATTTATTGAGAAGTAAAAAAGAAAAAGGACATGCAGCTAACTTTTGGCTAACGTAATTGACAATATTTTTCACACAGTCAAAAGATAGAAAAAAGCTTTAACACTGTATTACAGCTAGTTAATTATAGGTTTTTAATTAACACAACTTTGACCACAAGAAAACAAATACAACTCAATTAAGTTTTTACACTGTCCTTGTCCATAATGTACAATATAACGCTGCTTAATTAAACCTAGCTAGTGTAGAGTAGTTTCTATGCCTTTCAATTTTTTTTTTAGTCAACTAGTTTGGTTTGATTAATATAAATACTATAGAATACTCTATATAATAGCTATATTTGGTCAAAGTTACACCCTGTACCATGCAATCTGGTAAATAAAATCTTGGTCTTTTAATAAATATATTATGGTTACCTTCTAATCTATTGCATTATGCCTCTGATAATTTTATCATTTTTGGAAATTGAATGATTTATCCGAAACTCTTTTATATTAGGAGAGTTTGCTCTATTATTACAGCTAATTGGTAATCTATCGTCAGATTAAGATAATTGAAGTTAGGAATAATGAATACGTGTCTATGGTTAGATGATTGATTATTGAGAGCTCTAAATAAATAATAAAATAATACTAGTATTGTACAATAAGTCATTTGAGACTGCATGCCTGCATTTTGTTAAAGTCTATACCAGCTGTATTAAATTTGAATGATTAATGAATTGATCCTTGTCACACTATAGTCACATGGACTGCTCACTCATCTCTTATGATAAAAAAAAAAAGATACTTCTGCTCTTAAAGTATCTTCCTTCTTTTAGAACATCTTAGTTCAAACATGTTTGATCCAATGAAATTACTCTATCCGTACATTTTAATTTGTTTGTATCGTTTTGAATTGATATACTTATTAAAAAGTAAAAATGATAGTTAAATTTAAAATTAACAATGTGTAAATTTTATAGTTTTAAATCTTCGATGTGAAAAGTTAAAATTAATTATAAAATGATGATAATATTTTTTTAGAATTAGATTAAAAAAAAAGTCAAATTAAAAATGAAATAATATATTAATAAATAACATAAAACAAACATCCTTAGCTCAGGGTAGAGGATTCGATCGAATTTGATAAGACTTTTTTTTATTTCAATTTGAAAGTTCAATCACAAAGAGTGTTGATGGATGATGAAATCTCTAAAACTAAATAAAGTTATTTTGTATTTAATATATTTTCAGAAAAAAAGATCACATGAAGTATAATTGATTCCGTTCAATTTACTAGTGCTAAGGATACAACATTTCACATTTCCATGTAT